CACATCTCACTAAACCAATAAACTTATAAAGGCTAAAATGTAACAGACTTAATACACTTTAGCCTTAGTTTATTAATGTGCAATGTACAATTAAATAGGTAGTCAAAGCAGAAGTCCTTTCTCATAAAAATTCTGATTCTTACCTCACAAAGTAATGCATGTTTTCCAGCAATCCATAATTTCTCATTTTCATCCAGCCTATTTACTTTAATCGCCCATGTTTTTTTTCTAGCTTCATCACTAGGAAATTGATGCAGTTTGAATTTAGGAGCTGTATTTGAGCAATTAATTACTGAACAACCCGGCATGATCTATTTTTATATGGTAGCTTTAAGAGCGATATAGATGTATCGGCAGATCTAAAGGCTAAAATAATGATTTCTATACTTAGTATAGTAAAGTAAGAACTAACTGGATGTTTAGAATCTATTATAGATAGAAATTACCTGGTATATAAAGTTTCCAATTCTGTTATTTATCGTAATAAATAGCTGATTGACATTCGCTTGTCATAAGGGAATCGGAAGCAGGCCTAATAATGGCGTCCATAAACCACGTAATCGGCAGTATCCAATAATATTTTGACCCCCCAGTTGACCATACTCTGTTTATAGAGGGCTGTAGTAAATAATAGCTAGGGGCGCCCCTAGTGGCCGTTTTGGATACCGTGACAGAAACCGGTTATACACAGTAGATATTCACTTAATAACGATTTGTATAAATATAAGAAAAAATAAGTATAAATTAAGAAAGAAAGTATAAATATAAGAAAAAATTCGCCGCTGAGCCGATGCCGCTGGTGGTGGGGTCAGTTGCGCTCTGCCCTTAGAGCCTGTACACACTAGGCGTTTTTCAACGCGCGTTTTAAAGAACCAAGAGTTCTATGTAGGCGTACACACTCAAACGCGCACTTTTGGCCAAGCGCGCGTTTATAGATTTTTGTTAAAACGCGCATTTTGCAGGCGCTTTGAGATATATGTGCTGCCATGTTACTGTACATTCGATCGCGCGTTTTGCGGGTGTCAGCTGAGCGCTTTGAGATATATGTGCTGAAATGGAGAACAATCATTTCGATACTGATCTATTTATTGATGAAATCTAAAAGAGACCAACCATCCTCAAAGGATTTTATAGATATTTTAAAAGAATTAAAAAACTTGAATTTATTTTGTCTTAGTTTTGGATACAACGTCGCAAACATTCCTTACGTCAGTCTATCTCGTAATATTGGGTGCACCCAAAATTCTCTTTGCCTCTGCTGTCGTCTTTTATAGCAACGATAGAGGAGCCACACACAAGCAATCACTTCCACATCCATTTCCAAACCGAGCCAGTGCGCACGCTCCGCTAAACGCTCGTTGAACGCCATGCTAACGCGCGTTAGCTTGGTGTTCGACGCTCGTTTAAAAACGCCTAGTGTGTACACAGCCTTATGCTTGCGTTGCAGCGTGCAGTCTGGCTTCGCACCACTGGCAGCCTTTTTTTCCCCACTCAAACGCTCTGCCATCAGGCTTGCGTTGCAGCGTGCAGATTGAGTTCGAACCACCGTTCGCCTTTTTCTTTGTTTTTTCTTTCAAACGCTCCTTCATCAGGCTTGAGTTGCAGCAATGCAGTCCTGGATTCGCGTCTCCACTCGCCTTTTTTTTTTCCTCTTTAAAATATCATTCATCTCGGCAGTTACGTCCACACACAGCGAACTTAGATAATTTCGAACATCGCATTCAAAAATAACTATTGGGTTTCAGTAAATCAATTGATTTACATCCTCATCCGTAGTGCCCGTTTTAATGTAGCGCCATCTATTGGCANATTAAAATACGATTCGCAATAATATATTTATTTTTATTGCTTTTCTGTTTGTTTAGTGAATCGTCTCCAATCGTTGCGTATTTTATTAAGAATGATTTGTTTGCATTACGAATCCTTAGACATAAAACGTTCAATCATGGATATTTCTATGCGAATGATTGCGAAAGTATTAGTATATAATTTATTATTCACATCATGTAAATATATTTTTCAAACTTGATATTTTTATTCACTTTAATCTACGAGTTGAGATGATTCTGTTTTAATAACTGCTTTCATGTCAAAGTCAATTGATAAATGTTTTGTTATTCTTACAAGCACTCATTACAGGAGATATTTTATATTTTAATAACATATTAACTTTAAAAATAAAAGAGCGAGTATAATCATATAATAGTACATAAGTAATGTATATGGAATTCAATATCAAGTAGGGTCGTATTTTTAATAATATTTAATACGATAATAACGTGTATTTATCAATATTCAATGTTTTAATTTCAGAATTAAGAAATTTTTTGAAATGCTTTTAATTAAACTTCAACTTACAATAGGAAACTGTTTTGTAGCATTGAGTTCACAAGAAGTTTCTTCACTTGTGCTGTTTGTAATTATATTTTCAGACACTTTTTCGTCTTTGTCGTCTTTTAAGTCTTTCTCTGAATTACATTCGGCAGAACTGCCATGTTCTAAGTGAGTTTCGTAATTTTGAGTTTGATCAGGATCTTTCACTTGAAACTCAGAAACTAAAGAATAGAAAAGCATGAAAAATAATTTAGTAAATCAGTTTAGGAGAATACAAGATTTATATAAGCAATAAAGTTGGATAAATGAAAGAAAAACTGAAATTGTATACATCGAGTAAATATATCAAATCAGTTCTTATCGTAGCTGTTTTTGAAAATTATTTGAGAATATTCAACTTTTTGTGTGTATTATTTTTATAATTTTAAAGCACGGCAAAGGATAAAACATTATTCGCATATATCATTCATATTCATTATATTACGTTGTGTTATGTGTAAATGCATTATAATAATATGAAGTATCATAGTAATGATTGTTCATGCAATGTTCAAATAAAATAGTTAGCTGTTTAGTAGTTCGTTATATAGAAAGCTCAACAAAATTCATTAGTACATTCTGAGAAAAAAGATATGAACATCTGTTAATCTGAAACGTGCGTTACAAAACTGTGTTATAAAAATTTGTTGTTTGTGAAAATTCATTTTGTTAATGTTAAATTAGATGTTTTGATCCTAATTTGTTAACAAATTTTTAAAATTTCTATATTCTTCAAAACTATTCTCAAAATGTTTTGAATGAACTTTATTCTTTATTAAAATTATCATGGAAAAAAGCTAAATAAACATTATCTAGCATAACTAGAAAGGGGTCAAAACAATGCTTACAATTTTTTTATAGAGAAATAAATGGATATCATGAGAAAAAGGTATGTTTACTTAATACAAGTATTGTCAGACATGTTGTTATACGGTTATTTAATATCTGTAGTTTACATATTTTATTTATTTATAAATCATATCTGTGTTTCATTATTATACATTGAAATCGAATGCATAATTCTCTAATTAAATCTAAGCGCTTATTTCATTAAACACATATCTACGGAAAGTTTAATGACTTAACAACAAATAAATACTTAGTTAAATAAATACTATAATTTCGTAAGTAAAGTATATCCAGCAATATCGATAAATAATATAATTTAGATAAAAGAGTAAATATACAATAACATTTCGCTCAGTGAATAAAACTGCTGATATATAGAAAGAATTAAGTTACAATTTATGGATTAAATACTAAAACTTTCATGTTTAATGTATAGTTGTGCTTTAATTTTCTATAAATCTGCTAAACGGCCTAACTGCAAAACCATCTCCAGCTGATAACAGACCTCTACGAACAACCAACATAACCAAGGAGATGATAGGTCATAGAGTTCTCGATACCTCTTTCTGATACTTATGCTATCGATTTATTACTTTTTTATTTCTTAATTCTCCGTTTAATCATTTAAATCAGTTTGTAAGATTTTTCAATTAAAATTTTATACACATTATGGCTTAGACTAATAACGCTAGATGCAAGCAACGTCCACTTAGATGCAGCCTCGTCTTATCCTTATCTGTCACTAGCTCTGCGAATATTTATATGGAATACAGCTGTTCGTGTAGTTGTGTGAATATTAATTCATTTCTTTGGCTTTACTAGAAGAATGTTATTGATAAAATTTACCTTTAAGTTGCTGATGACGCGTTTCTGATGTAATATGTGACTTTGGTTCTAATGGATTTTCAGAATTATGAGCTGTAGACTCATATTTGAGAAATTCTGTTTGTTCCACGTTTCCGGGAAGTTCATATTGCAGCTTTCCATTTTCGGTAGATTCTGACACTTCAGTTGGCGGCGAATAATGCTGAAGTTCTACCAGCTGCTGATAGTCATACATATTTATTTCTGGAAACAGCCAATATTCAGTTAAATTTGGTTGCTGCCCATAATCAAACATTTCTGAGGCTTGCCAATTTTCGTTCATAGTAGGTTGTTGTTCAAATCTATTATTTTCTGGAACTGGCATATATCCATTTATACTTGGTTGAGTTCCATCTGCAAAAATTTCTGCAGCTGTCCAGTGTTTATTTATATCTGGATGCTGACCATATTCAAATACTTCTGGGGTTGGCCAATGTTGATATATATCGCAATATGTTTCATATCCTGTATTTTCTGGAGCTGTCCTATATTCATTTATAACCGGAGAAGCTCCATATTGAACATTTTCTGCAGCTGGCTTATGTTCATTTATATCGGAATATGCCCCATATCCAATAGTTTGTGGATCTAACCAACATTGATTTATGTCCGAATACGCCCCATATTCAACATTTTCTGGATATGTCCAATATTCACTTCCATATGGCAGTTGCCCACATTCAGTTACTGCTGGCGCTGACATATATTCATTAATATCTGATTGAGGGCCATATCCATTATATTCAGGAACTTGCCAATATACATTTATAACTGGATAAGCTCCATATTGAACATTTTCTGCAGTTGGCATATATTCATTTGTATTAGAATATGCTGCATATCCCTCATTTTCTGAACTTGTCCAATATTCATTTCCATAGGGCAGTGGCCCACATTCAGTTACTTCTGGCGCTGACATATATTCATTTATATCTGTTTGAGGGCAATATTCACTACATTCAGGAACTTGCCAATATCTATTGATAACCGGATAAGCTCCATATTGAACATTTTCTTCAGTTGGCATATATTCATTTATATTTGAATATGCTCCATCTCCAATAGTTTGTGGATCTGGCCAACATTGATTTATAACCGAATACGTCCCATATCCAACATTTTCTGGATCTGTCCAATATTCACTTCCATATGGCAGCGGCCCACATTCAGTTACTTCTGGCGCTGACATATATTCATTAATATTTGATATACAGCCATATCCATTATACTCAGGAGCTTGCCAATATCCATTTGTAACCGGATAAGCTCCATATTGAACATTTTCTGTAGGTGTCATATATTCATTTACATTGAAATATTCTCCATATTCAACGTTTTCTGGACCTGTCGAATATTGATTTCCATACGGCAGTGGCCCACATTCAGTTACTTCTGGCGCTGACATATATTCACTTCTATCTGGTTGAGAGCCATATCCACTAATTTCTGGGAGCGGCCAATATCTAGTCGTTTCTGCTTGTCTTTCATTTTCGGCTATTTCAGGAGACGACCAATAAGGCGTGAATTCTGATAGTGGCCGATATTCAAATTCACTCACTTGAGGTTCATACTGCTGATATACTGGCAGTATTCCACTTTGTGAAAAGTCTGTAGTCGGCCCATATTCAGGCATTTCTGACCACAAATCATATGGCACAAAGAATAATGTATACTGAAATAACAGAAAAGATATTGCTCATNGTTTCATTTGTTATGTATTGTTGTATTCTATATTTCTATTTAAATAAATAATATGTAATATTTTACTGTAAAAAATTATATTTATTAAATTAATTGTTTTGAATAAAAGTTTTTAAATGAATTATAAATTATCCTTTTGTAAGAAAATTATAAAAAGTGACTTTATAAGATTGTTATAATTTTAAATATGATGAAAAATTACTATGAAAATAATTGAAGATATTTTGTTTGAAATAATTTCCTCTTACTGATCAGTAATGAGTTAAAATTATTGAATACTTTTAAGTAAAATTTTAATTTGATATCTGTTTCATGTTGTTTGCAATTAAAATAAAAAGAAAGTTTGTTACTTGTTGAGTGACGTTATCAAATTATTTTTCCAATGTTTAAAATCGATAGTATTTTTTAAATAAATGCCATTTCAATAAAGTTATATATATGTTTTATAAACTTTTGATTATAACGATATTATTTAATATGGTGTGCTCACCAATTACTTGTGTGTATCACCATGTGTTTGTAGATGGGTAAAAAACATGGAAGATTGTATAAGATGCTATATACTAGTTTAGTGTGGTAGCTTAAAAAAAAACGCAACATAAAGGCAATTCACCAAAGAGATATGCCTCCACACAGAACATTTTACAAATGCCTTGAGTTAGTTTATCTTCCAGAAAGTTCAATGCAACTAGTGTTGACGTCCATAAGGTTGTAACTTAACAATCTTCTCATAATTTTCGTTAGAGAGTCGCCATATAAATGTTTTCAAATTTTCTTTAAGGTGTATAATAATTAAATATGAGGCAGTTTTTTCTACAGGCTATCTGGAAAACATCTTTCAGACCAGGGTTGTCTAACCTTTTTTATTTTTAATGAGCAAAATTTTAATTTTAGGAATATTTGGCAGGGCAAAAAGGTATTTTATATAAATATATACTGTTAAAAAGTTCAAAACGGGAATATGAAATTTCGATTAAAAGAAAATTATCCCATATATATAACAGTTCTCTGAATAAATTGACAATGTTTTTGTAAGTTTGCCGACGTTGAGGGGGAAAAAGTCTATCTCACGTCAGAATGAGCCTAAGGGAAACCGCGTATGTGGGCGGTGGCGAAGGAGGCAAACGATGTACAAGTGTTTTACAAGATAAAACCCGTTTATTTGTTCGAATTCATGCTTACATCGATATAGGACAATTCCAAAATCTCAGTGCTCCTGGGAAAAGCGAAAGTTCGTGTGATGGATCGCAGTTCGGGCGGACGAGAAAGATATCTGGACGAAGCAGAAGTTCGTTGTTACGTTGCGGCGTCCTCGGTGATCGGCGGATGCACAACACAATCTAAATCACCACTGTAGGCTTAATCCGGAGGAGACTCTCTTTCGACCTTGAAGTTCCGATTTTTATAGTTTTTCCCCCACTGTTCGCATTTCGGATTGGTCCC